AAAGATATTATGGCCTGATGATGGCCACTGTACTGGTCAAAAACCTGTGATAAATTGAAAAAAAAAATCCTCAGCATCGGCCGACAGCCCCCTTAGGTAGTTAAATCTGTTTATGCACTGTCAGATCAGTTTTTGTATGATAGAGGTAGATTTATCTGCACTTCAGATTCCAATTGTATCTGCTAAATATGTACCAGGTGTTCTGGAGCACCCATCCATTATCTCTTTCTCGAAAACAGCCGAAAATTGAGCTTCCAGGTGAAAACTTTTCGAGGCCTCCCAACCCCAAAGAATTCAACGAAAATATTTAAGCCCCCCAAAATCCCATGGGGGGGGGGACTGTAGGGAGTACCCCCGTTTCTCCCATATTTCTAATAGAAAGGGCGTGTTTTGACTTCGAATTCGAATTTTATGGCCAGAAATAAGAACTTTTTGTTTCATTAACTTTTTCCCCAGACAGGGTTGCCAGCGACCGGGAAAAGTCAGGGGAAAAAAATCAACCGGGAAAAGTCAGGGAATTTCGGTGTTGGTCAGGGATTTTTCTGCTTTTTCGTGGAATTATTTTTTTAACTTTTCCCGAAATTTGGGGACTTGCCAACGTTATGTTGAACTGATTTTGACCTTACTGAGATGATGAGGAGGCAAATCTAGGGGAAATTGGCTTATTTCGATGGAAAATTGAATGACCTTTGAATCGACGTATTTGGGGGTCCAACCCCCCTCCCCCCCTAAAATTAGTTCGAAGTGATTTCTGCAATTTTTACTTAAAACCGAACACAATTCGGTAAATTTTCCCGTCTATTTATTCTTTACGATAATTTGAACCAGAGTTATAATTCTTTGAAAATATGTCAAATTTGACCTATCATAACTCGTCAAAAATTAAGATATTGATCTGCGGTTTGCGCCAAACTCCTTAGTTTTTTATGCTCTTTCGAATGAGGTATCACAAGACAGGGGTTGCCATTTGAAAAAAATAAGTTGGGGGTCCCCCGCTCCCCGCCTCCCTCTGAAGGGGGAACAAGATTTTGACCCCCCCCCAAAATGGTCCCCTTTGAGACAGAAACATTCCCAAAGTTTCATTTTTCTATCTCAAACTGTTCAAAAGTTGGGGGCTGGATTTTTGGAAGACCCCGTATATATGTATGTGTGTGTGTGAGGGTGTGTATGGTTGGTTGGTTGGTAGATACGATGTATGAGTGTATGCATGTATGTATGTATGTATGTATGGTGTGTATGGTATGTATGTATGTATGTATGTATGTATGTATGTATGTATGTATGGAGAATTTAGTACCTGGAATGTTGAACGTGTTCAATTTTGGTCGTATGGGGATCAACCAAGTGGATCAACTAACCACGTATACAGGTCGCAGAAACTCCGCAATCGCCAGCAATCTGCAATCTTTTTGCGAATTGCATAGGCCATATGCAAACTGCCAAGGCAATTTGCAAATTGTCTAGGCATTTCGCTAGCCGCTAGTGATAACTAAAAAATGTAAAATATCATGGTAAAGAAACAACGGAAACAGTCTTAAGTTTACCTTGTTGTGGAGATGTTTCAGTAGAGTTTTGAAATGAGGCAGCAGCTACACCTTGGTTGGTAGTGGTTGCGCGGATGAACTTCCAACATTCGAATTTAAATATTATTACCATTTTTTGAGTTTTTACAGCGTTATATCTCGCTAAATTTTAGCTCAGCAAGTATTTAAAAATATTTTAAAAAAATTATAAAAACTATTTGTTTTGACAAGTCAAAGAAGCGTGACAACGACTGTTACATTTCACGTTGTGCAACAAAGTGCCGTGGGCATGTGTCGAGAGCGTTGTGGACTGGGTTCATGAGCTAACGAGAGAGCGCGAGGAGCGCGGCGGCGGCGGCTCCGTCACTTTTATATTTCCCATTCATTCTCATGGCCCGAGCACTAACGAGCACACCACATCTTTTCCACCTCCACATAGTTCTGTTTAATAGAAATACGTCCAAATATTCCGCTGCCACAGGACAAAATGAACTCTTGGGGACCATTTTCTTGAGTTTTGACTGGGCATCCACGCACGCAACATATTTTCGTTTTCTTGGTTACACCTTTCGATGGATCCCTGGGATTGTGAATGCCGTGACCTCCCATGAACAATTTTACACCAGGACCAGAGAGAGGCTAGCTCCGTTTTAACTTCTGGGGCAAATTCCTTGCCACAGCCGGTGCTGCAATCTCCTACTTTTTGTTCTTTTTCCCATTTACACTAATTATTTTTGATTCATCACTTGCGGCTTGCGAATTGCAGATTACCGTCTACTGCGGATTGCCTGCGACATCAAAGACATAAAGACGGAGTGCTCGTATCTAAAAGCACGGGGAAAAAGTGAAGCTAGGTTCGGCGCTGCGCGTTTGTGTGAGTGTGTAAATGAGCGCGGGAATCCATGGCGGCAAACGGAAATTTGATTTGAACTTGTCCTCTTGATTTTTCCTTATTTCTTCTTCGAAACGTGTTTTAAATGCTTTAAACGATTATATTAAGAAAGTTCGGTCTGCGTCCTAATATATTACACCTACTTTTGCTCGGTAACAGGCAGTAATCTCAGATAAAGTTAGTTTTTCTTCTGCTTATGGTGGTTCTGCAGGTTCAAACAGGCCGTTACAGTTCTAGATCTACGTTACTCCCAAATGAAATCAGTCGGTCGACGACGGACCGAAACTAACCTAAAGTTAATAAAATATGAGTGTGTACCTGAATTTGGGCAAAAATCAACCTAAAATACTTTGTTTCCGCAATTTTATTTATTAGTTCCCGCCCTACATTTGAATTCAAACTTGTCCCGATTTCGCCGCCAATCCTCTAGCCAATAGTAGAGGTGATTGAAAAGAAGCTCTAGAAGCTTCATTTTTTGCTTTTAGTGCTCCGTCTTCATGTCTTTGTGCGACATACATACGAAATCGCATAAACCGCCAAAAAGGGTTAAAATACCAATTTTTAAGTTAGTTTAGGTCACGTTTTCTCCATGATCACCAACTGCCGTGGGATCAACATTCCGTGTATGTATGTATGTATGTATGTATGTTTAAAGGTGCTCCAACAAACTTGGGTCATTTACACCTCAGAGTGGAGATAAAAAAAAAAAAAAAAAAAAAAAAAAGTAGTACTACAGATTAAAAGAGAGGACAAGGAAAGAATGAATCAAATTAGGTGATTAAGTCGTCTGAAAAAGGGAGGGATTTGATGAGAAAATTTTTGAAAGGATGGTATCGAAATCAGAAGGAGGGGGGGGGGAATTTGGGTCTTAATTGTTGGTGGGTAGGACAAGATACTAAAACATGTCTGACTAAGAGGGGGATATTACAGAAGAGGCAAGTTGGAGGGGGACTTTCTCAATTAAGTACTGGTAGGTGGTAGGTGTAGGCAGTGTGCCCCATGCACAAAGTTTTACTTGACTCACACAAGTTAGACCACAAAAGTGAGGATATTGGATGTTGGAGGATTCTTATATCGGCAGTAAGCAGTCCACTTATGTTGCCAATAGACCACTAGACAAGGTACAAATTTTAGCATTCTGATAAATGTACCTTAACCAAAATTTTGCGTAGAACATAATTCGCGCAATGAAAATTACTGAAATAAGCTCCTAATCAAGATATTTAATGTTTTTTGGCGGGCGAATTCAAACCTCCCGCTCATGAAAACGCAATGGTCTACGTGAGTCTAAGCATGCTTTAAATGTTACCATGACAGTCTATGCGATACAAAAATATTGCAACCTCAATCATAATGGCTTGGCTCAGCTGTAGCAGGTTGTTTATAGTTTGAACAACAAAGGGTGAACAATAAACATTGCTTAATTGAGAGGCCTGCCGAAACCGTTGTAGTACGCGATTGGACTCACGTAGAGTGTTGAGTTTCTTGTAACCTGGCAATTCAAATTTCCCGTGACCAATGTAAATTAAAAACGTTAATATCTTAGTTAGAAGTTGTTTCAGTAATTTTCGATGCAAGAATCGTGTTCCACGTAAAATTCTGATAAAGAAACATATATAAAAAAGCTTAACTTCATGCTTTGTCTAGTGGTTCATTCGTGAAGATTTCTATTTTAAGTATGTATTTCTCCGAGGAAAATTTAAATTTGACGCAATAGATTATGAGAGGGGGCTCGAAAGTGGGGGAGGTCAAATCTTGTTCACTCGATAGCTTGAGTTAAAATCAATATTTTGAGCTGAAATTTTTATGGGTGATAGTTCTCCCCTGGAACTGGTTCGGTATAGAATTTGAACGAAATCGGCCCTGCCTTTTCAGAATGGCGAGCTTGGAACATTCATGCCGGGCGGAGGAGTGGGCGGTCGCACAGTGGGTCATGGTAAGGGATCTATCTATGGACAAAATCTCATCAATTTAACTGTAATAAGTATTTTCTAAATGAAACTTATTGGTAAATTCCAAGACTCCAGCTCCTAATTCGGGAAATACACTTTGCTTCCCGCGATGGATGCGTAGGTCACTTAAAAAAAAGAGAAACGACTGAAAAGACGCGCACGTCTCCAAGGGGCCTTGGAGGCGGAGCCTCCCCCCCCCCCCCCCAAAAAAAAAAAGGAAGCGGAGTGGAGTGGCGGTTTTGTTTTATTTTGAAAATCGGATCATTTTAAAGCCTACAGTGTCCAAAAAGTACTGTCCAAAAAATGCACCGCTTCTCAAAAAAATTGAAGGTTTCGGGAATAAGCCCGTGAATCAAAAACTGCTTATTTTTAGAAGAAAAATTCGAATCCGTAGCCCTAAAATACCCTTCCTATCTGAAATATGAGAGAAGCGGGGGCTATCACTCCTCCCTTATGGGGTTTTGAAAGGCTGAAAATATTTTTATTGAAGTGGTTAATTTACTCCGAAAAGTTTCCACCCCAGAGTTCAATTTTCGACTGTATCCAATAAACAGATAGTGGACGGGTGCGCTGGAACACGCGATTTATTTGATGTAGAGTTGATTCTGATCCATATTTTCTTTTCGCTCACAGTTTGAATATCAGCAAGCACAGTTGGAGGCAGAAATTGAAAACCTTTCATGGAAAATTGAGCATGCAGAAACCACTCATCGAGGTGACCTAGAAAATCAAATAGACATTGCCGAAAAGAGGAGAACTACTTTATTGAAAGATTTCTTTGAATCTTGATAGGACTCCTCTTCATTGACTTTTGAGTAATATTTATTTATCTATGTCTAGAGAAAACAAAATTTGATGTCGCTCAGTTTTATTCCAAAGCTGAATGAAGTATTTAATAAAAGTATTAAAAGATCTGGCTATTAAACATTCTGCAAGTAAGAATCACAGTCTTACTTAAATTGTAAGGTGGTTACAAAAATATTCAAAATTCCCTCCCTTTCTTTCAACAAAAGCGATCACTCTGAGCCAATCAGAGTGCGGTATCTCGTGTTTTCGCTTGTCATTCCTTCCTCTTTCTTACAAGTCAAGTTTTGTTTCTGAAAATATAAGTTCGTTTTTCCCTTCTGAAAGGTGGCCCTTTTGGGTCACCAAGTCTTCAGTCAAGTCTCCAAGTCAGAGTTGGCACCCCACGTTGGGCGCCATCTTTGAGACTTGGAGCCCGGAAAAAAAAAGAAGTCCGTATCTCATGCTCATTGAACTTGCATGAAGGAAGAAAGCTCAGTCTGGAAGAGCAAATGAAAGAACACAGAGTTCTTGATTAATCAAAACCTCCAGCACCTGAAACGCTTACCGACCGGCAAATACATGAAAGAAAAACTAAATGGTTGCCAAACAAACTTACACTTACAGAATCAAAACTTGATTTGCAATAGTGAAGAAGGAATGACAAGCGGAAACACGAGATGACGCTCCTGCCACGATCTTCCACCCTGATTGGCACAGATTGATTGCTACTGTTGAAAGAAATGGAGGGAAATTTGAATATGCCTTTGACCATGTCACAAAATCTGTATCTTGCCATAACTTTTCAGTTCTTACTTGAGTGCCCAGGCTATGCAATTCAGCAAAAAAATTAGAATATCCATGGAATTTTTAACTGAAAGCGCTGATATTGTGCGTGCATGCTCTGTAACATGGTTGTAGTGCATTTTAAGAAGCAAATAGTATCTGTAATTAGCTAAAGAGCTTTATGCCAAAACGGCATTTTTCGCCCCCCCCCCCGGAATTTCTTCAACCTTTGTCTATCCATTACTCATACTTGAGCGCTTCTTTTTACCAATTTTCAGACCCCTAAAAAAATTTGGGGGAGCGCTAGGGGGGGTGGAAGTCAAAACCTGTGAACCTTGTTATCTCTGGAACGAAGAAAGATATCAAGGTCCGGTTTGGACGAAAAATCGTCTAAAATTGCATAATTTAAGACTCAAGGTCAAAATCCCGATCTCACATTTTAAAGTTGACAAATGTACTTTTTTCAGTTTTTGAGTCGACAAAATTTCTCTTAAACAAAAAATTCACAAGGCACTCATTTTTTTATTTGAACCAAAACCAGTTTTTTCAGATAGTTCGTCTTTTTCCACATCCAACGAGTTGTCTAGTAGACTGAGGAAATAAACTGTTCCGGAGTTTTGAGCAATTGAAGTTTCCGCTCAACGCCCACCGACCGATTTGCGCGCGCCAAAACATGGTTCTAAAGCTTGATTTGGGTGTTAATAAATCAGATTAAATGTTCAAACCGTGAAAAATACATTTTTAGGGATTCTTAAGGGTCGCTCAAAAAGAAAGGCCCATCAAGTAGCACTACGTAGAAAAGTGAATATTTGAAAGTATCTGTAACTTTTGAACTCAGCGACCCTCAAGAATCCCTCAAAATGTATTTTGCACAGTTTGACCATTTAATTTGATTTACTTAGGGTGTCCCAAAAGTACTGCACGTTTTTTTTTTTTCGGGCGAACGGTAGTAGATATCAAAATGCGGTTTGTGTAGACTTAAAGTCCGAGTGATTACCAACAAAACAAGATAGATCCGAGCTCTGTAAGTCAAAAATTGACCAAGTTACAGTGTTTTGAAAATGACATGTCCAGGTGACCCCTCCAGGATTTTTAGCTTCTTTTCTAGAACAAAATCAAAGAATTAAAGATTCAAGTGGTTTAACAAATTAATTTCACAAAATCTTACCAAGAGTACTAGCATTTACTCTTCTTCACTGGACGACTGGACACTAGTTTCCTTTTAAAGTACCTTCTTTCACTTTCCACACAACGCTGCAACTGTTCTTCCCACTTCTGCAAACATGTTTTTTCAAAATCTTCTTTCCTGAGGTTATTCAAGAAAGTTTCAACAGCTCTTTTTATTTCGTTAACGGAGGTAAACCTCTTGCTTCTTAAGCCCTTCTTTAACGTAGGGAACAACCAAAAGTCGCAGGGTGCGAGGTCCGGGCTGAAGGGGGGTGCGGAAGACGGACAATCCCGTGTTTATCCATACTCTTTAGTGCACTGGACCGTGTGGAGGCGGGCGTTGTTGTGGTGCAGGAGCCATGTCTCCTTCATCTCTGGCCGCCTCTTGGCAATGTGCTCACGTAGTGTCATGAATACCGAGCTGTAGTACTCCTTAATGATTGTCTGCCCAAGAGGGACAAAATGTTGATACACCATCCCTCGAAAATCAAAGAGTGCAATAAACTAAAAATCCTGGAGGGGTCACCTCGACACTCCATTTTCAAAACACTGTAACTTAGTCATTTTTTGACTTAGAGAGCTCGAATTTGTCTTGTTTTATTGGCTATTACTCCGACTTTAAGTCTACATTAACCGCATTTTGATATCTGCTACCGTTCGCCTGAAAAAAAAACGTGCAGCACGTTTGGGACACCCTATGTATTAACACCCAAATCAGACTTTGGAACCATATTTTGGCGCGCGAAAATCGGTCGGCGCGCGTTGAGCGGAAACTTCAATCGCTCATAACTCCGGAACCGTTTATTTCCCCAGCCTAATGAACCACTCGTTGAATGCGGAAAAAGCCGCTTTTGCCTAAAGCTCTTTGGAAGAAAAAGCACATTATTGATGAGGTGAAATCCATCAAATGAGCATAGTTCAGTGAATAAATTGCATAGTCCTTGTGAGAAAGGGATAAAACGAGTGAATTCGACTAAAAAAATGGTTAGAAATGCATCTGGTGTCATCCATCATATCCTCATCTATTACCCCAATACTTACCTCCTCTTTTTTTCCAAAACACTAGATTTCTATTTTGTACACTCAATTTAGACCTATTTAGTTCCTTGAAATGACAATGAGTCTGTTGCAAGCAGCAGCCACAGTCCTATCGAAAGTTGCTTTTCCCAGAAAATTGCACAAAAATCGTAAATGAGCGCAAAAATCACTCTTTACTTTATAATCTGCGTAGGTAAAACAAGAATTTTTCAGCCTCCTGCTTAGGAATTTCTCAGTAAAGCTTTCCATATTCAGAAGGAATGAAGTTCATATCGACGGTGAAACTACCAAACCACGTATCTCGTTTGCGGTGTTTAAAAATCTACGCTCACATTTTATTTTTTTGAAGTAGACCAAATCAATATCATTCCTTGAAATTTTCACGGAATTTTCTCCGCACAAAGAGGAAAAATCACAGAAATTTTCAAGACTGGACGTTAAGTAGTTTTTCATTTAAAAAATAAAGTTTGACAGGAAGTCTGCGACGTCGCAAACCGAGATACGTGGTTTGGTAGTTTCACCGTCGATATGACATTGAAAAAAAATTGCAACTGTTGATGACAACAAAGGAGTAACAGTCGAGGTGTTCTTTTGAATGTGCAATGATAACTTGACAGAGTGTAAACTGTCACTTTGACAGATGATTAGTCATCCCTGGCTTTGGACTACATCCGCATGCTGTGCAAAAAAAATATTGCAGCAAAGATCTAATTTAACACAGATGAGTCACCTCGACTTTGCAACTCTGCACAGTATCTAACATGGTTGCTGCCATGACATAGTTAGGAGAAATCTAGCTGAGTGCCTGCAGTAAGCGAGTTATGCTAGCAATCTAAATGTTATTCTTGTGGATCTTGAAGTAGTATTTTTTATTTTACCCTTTTTCAGATAATTTTAGTTTTTACTGCAATGAGGAAGGGTCTTTAGAATTTCCCTGCACATGACATAATTATTAGGCCTGATCATTGTCAAAGTCATGTAAAAATCTGGCCTTATGACTGAAGCAGCTGATTGATTTGGAATATGTTATGCCCAGTTAATATTTTGTTACCTAAAAATAGAGCTTCTCTTCATCTCTGAGTAATAATTGTTTATTTTCTCTTGTGTCTCTGTGGGGTGTTCATTTGCCATCGTTTACAAATAAAGCTTGAGGCTTGAGCAACTGAATCTTTTGCTGTGTGTGCGTTTCCATTTCTATAGTCAGTGTGGATCCAATTTATTCATGGACCAAGATTTACACTATGAGCATAGGTTTCTTGTACTCACATTGATTCATGAATATTTAGGTTCCAATTTCAGCCACGTTTTCCCCAAAATAACCCAAGTGAATTCAATAAGTGGGGCCCCAGTATTGAATGGGGTTGTTGCATGCATTTCTTTTAATTCAGTTTCTAGAAGTTGGTGGTGTGCTGATTGTTAAGGTATTTTTTTAAAAATTTTCTGATGATTGGAACATGGAGAAAAAGCGTCGAAAGTTGAGAAACGGTTTGAAACAGGGTTCCTTCCCGCGCCTCGAAATCACGTGACTCGCACTGCGTTGTGACGTCACAACGCATGGCCACGGGTTTTTGCTATCTGAACTGCGTGCTAATATGAGGTTTTTAAAAAATCAGGAAAAATCGAGTTTTCCGACTAAGATCATTTGTTTTTTATCTTGATGGATACCTAAAGATAAGATGAATCAATTACAGACTGAGTTTTTGGCTCTTCACGACGATTTCTGGGTCGGAAAGTGAGTTGAAAATCGCTCCTTTCCCGTTTTCTTCACGCAGCGGAGGAGCCGTTCGGCGGTGAGCGGAGGGCGGTACGCAGCAGCCGGCCAGTGGCGTAACGGGCGCCCCCGCAGACCCTGCTATGCAGGTGGGCCCAGGCGCCT